CAAACATAGTGCGAACATCCCATGTCCTCATCCTTACTTTTGCTTTCATCGAGAGAAGACACATCGGTCGACTGGCTTCCTAAAGGCTTTCACCAACTGGCGTCACTTCGTCTCTCCGATTCCGGCGAAGAATAAGTTTGCTTTTACTTTTTATAATTTCTTTGTGCTTTGAAGTTTCTTTAGCGATTGGATTGGTTTTACGGGGTAGGGGTTGCTAGTTTTATGCCCAACCTTTCCTCTTTATCCGGGCTTAGGACCGGCTAGTAACTAGTGAACTAGAAAACTAGGCGAGGTTAAGTGTAAGTTTGTGGTGGAATATAATTCTATATTAGGGCTGTTTGTTCGGCATAACACAGTGATAGAGCATTGTTTAGTTGGTAGTGTTCCAACATAAATTATTCCTCATAATTATTCCAAAGTATTAAACCAGCTTTCAACACCTCCCGTATTGGTGTATATCATTCCTATTACATGTGTTTTGTGTGTTGATTCGGTGGACAAATGTTCGGTAATTAATCTCTTCACCTACTTATATTGGACTGGAGCACAATTAATTCATCTCACTCTCATGCGTCCTTGTTTATTAATCAGGTCGCAGAAAAGACGCATAGAAAGATGGACGGAACAAATCAACTGGCCTTCAGCCACTATCCAGTTGGAGCCTGAATGGAACATCGAGAAAGCTGCAAATAACCTGAAACGAGGGAGAGGAAAAGGACCGTACAGACCAGTTCTAGAGATATTTTAAAATGATGGTCAAGGAATTTTATTCAAGTAAACCGAAATGTTAACAACTTACTTTTCTGTCATGACATGATCCGTTAGGGCTTTTTTTGTGTAGTGACTATTCGCATGCCTGACAAACACGTCAAAGTGGTGACTACTAGTCGAGAAATCATTGGATGATTACAAGTTGGAATCACTACTTATCAACCTAGGTTAAGGTTATTACAATGGATTTTTGTCGTCTGAGCGAAACGTGTTTGCTAATTTCTATTTTGAATGTCAACATTCTGCTAACGATTGCTGTTAGGTGTCCCATTGATTCTCATGTGAGTGTAGTAGTCAGCACCCTCAACCACTTCACTCCCTACCGTTAGCCAGCGAACTACTGGAGATCAATACTCCCGGAGAATCAGTTTGCATTCGGATGGCGAGAAACGCATTCCAAACATTCTCAAATTGCCATTCGATGTATCCAGAAGATTCTACATCTACGTCTTGTTATCTGCGTACTCCAGGTCTACCAAGGATTCTCCAGTGATTAGTTCAGTCAATGTGATGTCAGATAACGAGAGGCAGACTTCCATTAGAACGTATATGAGAAAACTGAACAGGAATGGAGAGAGTAGTAATCCTTACTGGGCACCACTCTACGTACACAACTCACCATGAGCTCTAAGACAGCACATGTGTTCGAGTACACATCCCTCAACAGAGTAGTGTTTTCATTCGGCATCCGTTTCAGTAAGAGACACTGTCACAATTTCCGGTCGATACACCCACGGCCCGGTCTGAAAGCTGCCTACCTGTTTACTCAGTCTTACTGTTTCAGAGCTCCACTCAGACGTCTAGGATAGGATTATAGGACCTAGGATCTTAGAGACTATATCAGTCAGACTTATTCCCCTCTGATTATCACAAGAGGACTTCTCGCATTTCTTGAAATTTGGAACAGTCAGTGATTGAGACCAGTCGGAGGGGACCATATGTGACTCCCCCACTCTAGTTAACACTTCGATTAACTTGAATAAAATTCCTTGACCATCATTTTAAAATATCTCTAGAACTATTAGTGAACAATAACACTCCGACAAAAACAGAAGCGAGGTCCTCAACGCCATAAAGTTGCTGAAAGCCGAGGAAGAAGCAGGGCCAGATGCAATTCCGCCAGAAGCACTGAAAACAGACGCAGACACAATAGCAGCAAACACGCTCACACAACTATTGCAGAAGGTTTGGAAGGGAGACAGGAAAGGTACTTGCCGATTGACTGGAAGAAGGGCTACCTTGTCAGACTCCCAAATAGGGGAGACCTAAGTCTTTACAAGAACTGGCACGGAATCATGCTCCTGTCCATGTACACCCCAAGCGAAATATTGTGCCGCATCGTCCCGGAAAGACTAAAGGATGCACTGGATTCAAAATTACGACCGGAACAGGCTAACTAGCTGGCTTCAGTAAAAACAAATCATGCTCAGACAAAACTGCGACCCTACGCTACGCATCATCATAGAACACAGCATAGAATGGCAGTCAACTCAACTCAACTCAACCTCAACTTCATCGACAATGAAAAGACCTTCGATAGCGTCGAACGAGAAGCAATTTGACAGGCAGCTGCTTCAACACTACGGTTTTAGTGCCACAAACCTTCATCAGCCTCATTCAACAGCAGCCACATGCTATGCTATATGATGCTACATGCCAGCCAAGTGATTCACAATCGAAAGCTCAGTGATGTTTTTGAAGTGAAGTGAAGTGAAGACAGGAAGACGTAAGAAAAGGTTGCCACCCACTATCACCAATCATCTTCCTGATTGTGGTCGACTCAACTGAACTAGACTGGACTGGACTGGACTGGACTGGACTGGACTGGACTGGACTGGACTGGACTGGACTGGACTGGACTGGACTGGATCATGCAACAAACTGTCAGGAGCGAGAAGATGGGCATATGCTGGCTGGACCGATGGACAGACTCCAGAAGAAGATTTAGATTTTACCGATGATGATTTATGTCTAATGTCTTGTCGCTGAAACTCGAAGACCCACAGGCGAGAACTAACAAGTTGGCAGGAGAGGAGAAGCGAGGCGAGGCGAGGTGAGGCAGCGAAGACGGGACCTCCTTCAGGGGTGGACGTAGGGAAGATAGAGGTGATGAAGATATCCAACCACCACCACCACCACCACCACCAACAACAACAACAACAACAACAACAATAAAAACAAGCACCATCGACGGGAGAAATCTGAAGAAAGTTGTCTCTTTCCCCTGCCTACCTGTATAGGCAGAATCGTTTCAACTACAGGCGACGGCAGCAGCACACATGAGGATGTCAAAGCCAGGATCGGAAGGACAGCAAGACAGGCCTTCATCCGCTTGAAATCAGTATGGAGATCTACTACGCTGCACTGCACTCAGCATAAAGAACAAGATCCGGATTTTCAACACCAATGTCAAGTCGGTGCTGCTGTCTGGTTCAGAAACTTGGCGCGTCACGCAAAGCATTCCCAACAAACTACAGATATTCATCAGCAGCTGCCTACGCTGGCTCGATACTGAAGATCAGATGGCCAGAATAATAAGAATAAGCAACGAGGATCTCTGGCTGGCTGGCTGGCAGCGAACCAACCAAGAACCTATCACTCGAGAAATATGCAGAAGAAAGTGGAGATGGATTGGATTGGGCATACACTGAGTAGACCATTTGAAGATATCGCGCGTCAGCCCAGGCCCTTTAGTAGAACCCAAAAGGGAAATGACGAGTTGGGCGTACGAGGCGAAGGTGACATCGAGGAGATGGTGTGAGGAAGAAATGAAAGCTTGTGAGCAGTGGTGGAGCCAGGTTCAAAGACTGGGGGGGAAGAGTGCAGTGGAGGCGTGCTACTGAAGCCCTATGTCCCACTAGGAACCCAAAGTACAAGTAATAAAATAATAATAATAAGCTTACACTGATATCAGTGCATGAAGCTGACCAGCTGCTTGTGGTCCGCGGGACAAGAGAAACCAGTGGTTGGAGACGCTAGGTGAAATGGCTGAGAACCGATGTCAGAGGCTCAGATGCATACTTACATTATCCTCACCTTAACGACGCTATACCGATTCTCACCATTTTCTCATTCTTCCTTCCTCTCTTTTCGTACTTCATATTTCTTTTGAGTGGATTTTGTTTTTTTCATCTTCCACTCAATTGCCTATTTACTTAATGTACTGGTATGAGGTGTGACAACTCGGACCGTTACGCAGGAATGCCTGGTCCTATGTTGACGTGGATGGATGGCATGAACCTAAGATTGGACAATTTCACGAAGCGCAGCGCCAGGCTGCAAAATAATTAGTTGATCATTCAGATTTATGCTAGGTTAAATGTAACAGCAGGATAACAACGGTAATTATCTCAAGTTACCTAGGAAAATGGCTAATAAACTAAACCTTTAGGTTTCTCCCGTTAATGCTGATTGGTGCCTCTTGTTTTTCATGCTGTTGTTGGTTGGGTATCTTCATCACCTCTGTCTTCTCTACATCCACTTGAAGTCCCGTTTTCGCTGCCACGCCTCTTCTGTCAACTTGTTAGTTTTCGCCTGTAGATCTTCAACTTTGTGTGACATCAGACACAAGTTATCGGCAAAATCTAAATCTTCTAGGACCTTTTCCCCGGTCCAGCGTATCCCCCTCTTCTCGCTTCCCACTGTTTGTTGCATGACCCAGTCGACCACAATCAGAAAGATCATCGGTGATAGTAGACATCCTTGTCTTACTTCTGTCTTCACTTCAAAGGCATCACTGAGCTTTCCATTGTGGATTACTTGGCATGTGGCGTCTTTATATAGTTGTTGAAAGAGATTGATAAAAGTTTGTGGCATTCCGTAGTGTTGAAGCAACTGCCAAATTACTTGTCGGTCGACGCCGTCAAAGGCCTTTTCAAAGTCGGTGAAGTTGAGGTAGAGTTGACTGCCATTCTATACTCTGTCCTATGCTACTATCGGCTCTCTTAAGTGCATGCTACTGGTTGATACAGGTATTTACCATTGTGTAACTGAGCTTATTTGAACCGCCTTCTTTGTGCTACTTGGAATATATGTACTACAATTACAATCATCGTTCTTGCTGTCTTTCTGATTTACTACTCCTAGTGTATACCATATGCGAATAACTGAATTAAAAATCCAATTTGCAGGACAGAATACATAGGTCAACTTATCAAAATGTGTATTTCATAAAATAAAATGGTAACACTATGTATATACAGCATAATGGCAAAAGTTGTGCTTTTCAGTTATAATTGATGTAAATGGGTCTTCTTTTTCTTCTTTACAGAATGCGAATTATCGATCCTCTCACCACCCAAAACTACACTAGATTCCGAAGCTGACCTTTTACGACCTCCTGCCGTTCTTACATGGACTGCTTCTAACAAACTTCTGTTTACGGACTGGTCAGCATTAACAGATTCGGAGTAGTGGCGCTTCTTCTTCTTTTTCTTCACACTAGTTTTCTCTTGCTCATTGTTCACTTCGCCATTAAAATGAGTAGGTAGATTGTTGGCTTCAATCGTTTCCTCTTTTACGTTTTCCTCTTCTTGGTTGTTATCACCACCACTGCCGCCAACGACTGGATTGAGTTTTTTCTTTCGTTTTTTTTTAACTTGACCATCTCCAGTTGCCGTTGTCACAGCCTCTTCACCTTGACTATCTGAATCTCTTTTATTCAGTGTTTGTATTGCCTTCTTCTTCATTCTGCGAATATATTTGTTCACCTTGGAAACGAAAATGGAACAAACAGACATCAAGGAGGGGAAATAAGAAACCACGAAATCGCGAAGACGCTTCAGAACAATAAAAACGAAGTAGCAGACAAATTAACTAACTAGCCGAAACTCCCGCCGATCGGCAGAACCATACGATTCGACTACTGCCATTTGTGGTAGAACTCACTGACAGTACAGACGCATGAATCTAATCAAGACAAGAGAATGGTTTAAACTGTAGGAACAGTCTGTAAGGCTTATGGTAACATAATAACCAAACATCAGTACTAACATCCTCCATAGCCGGGGTTAAATAATCACTTATTTCAAAACATAAAAAGTGAAATGGCTTTTAGATCCTCAGCACTGTATTCGGTGAATGTCTAGAGCAAACTGTCTCAGTTTTCATTCACGCACTTTTTAACACTAGAATAAACACATTTTTTGCCGTCATCCACAAGAACTCTTAATTCATCGAACACCTGATAAGTGCTACTTGAATACACACTTACATGAATAATGCGTCAAGATATGAAAAAAAGGGTAATGTAATTCAACCTGATACAGGTTTAAGTACTAAGGATACTGGCAAGATTTGTTGTGTGAGGGCTTACGATTCAATCTGCTTGCCCAAATCAAAGTAATTGGAGCGAGACATGAACACGGAAAACATTACTTGAAAGTCGAATGCTAAAGCCGACGAGTGACATTCTTCACGCTGATGAACAAACCTCCTAGAAGCTTTTTAAGGCAACTCAGCAATAAATAACAATCCCAAGAACTGAAAGTCACGTTTAATTATGTGCCGAATTCCACTGATGACAGCTACCTGAACTTGATGGTTTGGCTTACCTAAATGGTTAAACTGGATGGAATACTAATTCCTATGAGTTTGAACAAGTCATGTAGGTTGGCTTGTGTGGTGGATATTCTTGTTTAGGGAATTTGAAGGCATTATGATATGAGTTTGTAGTCTTACAGCTGTATATCGGATACCTGTTTGCTCAGAATGCTCTGCATTTCCGCCTACATTAGCTTTCTACTCTGAAAATTTTTTTTAAGTCAATCCAAAAATTTGTGCATTCAACTTCACCCAAGACGTTCCCACTGTTACTGGATAAGGTTCTCTGAAGACACATTAAACCCCTCTCTGTGTCTCACACACATACGCTTTTTCTCTCTTTCTGCGATCATGTAACACTTATCCTTTTACCCCGGTCCATATTGCATATATAAATAGTAAAAATAGATGGTTGCAAACTCAAGTGATACAGCTGAAAATCGATTATGGTAGCACATCTTATTGCTGTTCATTTCTTTGTTGCCTCCCTAAACAATTCTACCTCATCTATTCATCTTATGTTTGATTCTTTATAAGTGGCAAATTACGCTACTTATTTGCATCAAGTTCTTAGTTGGTCTGTCTGTCAGTCAAAAACTACTTGGCACACATAAAACGATTGTCAAAATAATCGGCTAGTAAATCACAACAAGGAGGCATCAGCAACAAAACCAGTGACATGTCTACACGAGGGAAGTTTTCCCACTTTTTGTAGGTATCTCAGAACTACGAACTGCAAATTTCATCCAGTCCAACTGAACATCCCAGCAACTACGGTCATTCGAGAAACAGTGTTCTAATAAGTGCCTATCCCTGTAAATACTCAACTGCATCTTATATCCAGTGACCAAATATCAGTGGCGCGCATAAAACTAAAAATAACGGAGTCTGATCACTTTTGAGTGAAAAGTATAAGGAGATAGTACTCATATATCTGACGCTGCCATCGAATTCGAATACCGTGAGATTGCAAGCAAAGATTATTTAAACGCTGTCTCTTCAAATACCTTTTGATTTTACTGATATTCTGGCCCAAAATGATCATGGCAAGCCGATGATACACATATATCACGTAAATTATAGAATGATTACAGCCCATGTTTATTCTTATTACGATTCTTACAACTACACGTAATAAGGAACTCAACAATAAACGAAGAACGCAAAGACAGAGTTACTTACTTCAACAATTGCACGTGCCATAGCCTCAGCGTTGGTAGGAGGCGTAGTGCCAGTTTCAAAATAACTCAATCTATCTTCAATCTGTTGTTTTAGATGCTTGCCGTAAATGTCACAGAGTACTTCACTGAAGCAATCAATTCGAGATGCTATAGCACATTTCGCAGCCAGAAATCTTGATATTCTGCCTTTGTTCTCCCGAGAAGCACGAGTAATGAATGGACTGTGATAGATTAATCCATATTTTGGTGTAGAACCACGAGACCGTAATGCTCTGAATAAAGCTTTCTCTGCTCCCAGTATCTGAATCGTTGAGGCAGGAAATTTGGCCAGATTCATAAGGGATCCAGCGTGTGCAATCAGCCTTGCACTAACTCTGTCACCGATCATTGTGCTTAGATTTGGAGCTACTCCAACAAGCTTTTTCGTCAAGTACTCTTGGGTCAGCTTTCTACGTTCGATTAACGCCAAAATCTTCTCAGTGAATGTTGCTAAATTTTCAGCATCATCATCTGTAATGTCGAAACCTATAAATTGAGTCATTAAAAAGTTTATTGTCTACATACCAACAGATGACTTAGCAGACTCAATGATATCTGAGGCAACTTGACTGTCAGTCAAAGCTTCTAATGCCTCAAGATTTTCTTCTGTTGCACCATCCCGAGTACGGACCAAACGAACTACCTTGACGAAAGTTGCATTGTCAGGGACAATTTTTGACAATTCTGGAAAGTGATAGGAGAACCATTCTTTGACTCGCATACAAAAGTTATTCACATCCTTATCCAACTGATCCAGTAAGTTTATAGACTGGATGATCATATTGTCATTTCTAGGAAAATATGAGAAAAACATTGAACAAACCTGTAGATATTAAATTTCACTTTGGCTCTAGAGTAACTGTGACCAAGACCGATTTGGGCTTTCGACTCGTCAAAATGAGAGAACTCCTTTATATACTTCGGGAAATAAAATCGAAGCGCTCTGTAAACCTCATGAAGAATGGATTCAGAAGAACAGGCAATATTTTCCGACAATCCTATTTCAGGAGCCTTAATGGCTTCAGCCAGTTTACGCTCTGCAACACAAAGCAGTACATTTGAGGAAGCGGGTAAATTCTCTTCTATAAAAGCCTTGAGCTCCTGTGGAACAATGCCTTCTGATATACCGTTACAATTTTGTAGAGCGCTAGCTGACGAAGAGAACGGCACAAACACGTGCAATTTGAAAGCGTTCATAAATGTTCCTCATCATTTAACAGTTCTCCAGCAAGTTGCTGTATTGCAGATACTGAACCTGAAGACTCAGCTGACTTGATTTTGACTCGAAATAAGGCATACCCCAACGCATGCTCATAAAGAATGTATACCTTCTACAAAAAAGAATATAAAAATGGGAAAGATGTACAACACGGCGTACAATAATTATCATACAGTAGTAGTTGCTATTAATTCGGGAACTAAGTACTATTTTCTTCAGGTGTAATACAACATTAAGGAATTTTCGATTAGTAATCAAGATACCTGTCTCCTCGGTGGACGAAATTTGTATGAAGTGCGCAAAGGTCAGATATTTTTTATCTTCTCCAATGCATATTTCTGTTCGTTATTAACCACTTTCCTTCAAGGGTACTTATTGACTACCACCATCCAACATCAAAGGTGTGTAAGTGGTTTGACTGCTGTAGCTGTGTAGAAACAGGTATACAGCTTTGAGTAGATGATTTCTTGACTGCATTAACTTCACACAAGCAGATTGAGAATTCTGATAAGTTAGGCTAATGTAACTGTTTAATACGGATAATTCTGCTCCTTCAAGTGCATCAGACTAATGATTTGAAGGATAATAACTAGCTAACCTAGAACCGCAAAAGTGCGTAAGTGCGACTGGTTTTTCTATAACTTAGCAGTCAAGTGTACGTTTGTGAAATGTCCGGGTTGTGAGACTTCTTGTTTGTGCAAACCTCGGTAAACGGAGCAGCGTTTCAACTGGTGACTTATCAGTTGAAAGTCAAATCTGTTTAGTGAACTATATCAGATCGAAACGAAATGTATTCAGCAACTTTGTATGTATTAGTGCAGTAGACAGTGTGCAACACCTATTGCGTGGGGGCTAATGATGTAACCTGCCTGTCCAAGCCTCCGTAGGTAGGCCTCAACCACTTCACTCCCTACCGTTAGCCAGCGAACTACTGGAGATCAATACTCCCGGAGAATCAGTTTGCATTCGGATGGCGAGAAACGCATTCCAACATTCTCAAACTGCCACTCGATGTATCCAGAAGATTCTACATCTACATCTTGTTATCTGCGTACTCCAGGTCTACCAAGGATTCTCCAGTGATTAGTTCAGTCAATGTGATGTCAGATAACGAGAGGCAGACTTCCATTAGAACGTATATGAGAAAACTGAACAGGAATGGAGAGAGTAGTAATCCTTACTGGGCACCACTCTACGTACACAACTCACCATGAGCTCTAAGACAGCCACATGTGTTCGAGCACACATCCCTTAACAAAGTGAGGACTTACCTTGCACTTATTACAGTTAGAGACACTGACATAAGGCTTCTGATTTGGCAAAGTCAAACACCGTCTTCGTGTCGGAAAGTAAAGCCAGTGTCGAGTGTTGATAAGTCAGCCTATATTCCAGAAACTGGTAGAGTGAATATGTTGTCTATACACCCACGCTTAGTCTGAAATCTGTCTGCTACCTTTCGAATTTCTGGTTACGAGTTCCAATTAGCCGTCTGATAACCAGAGAACCTAGAATCCTGAACACAGATAGATTTCACTTTTTTATCACAAGCGGACTTCTCACCTTTCTCGCAAACCAAGATAATCAGTGATTCGTAGTAGTCAGAGGTAATCATACACGACTCATGTATTGCAGGCTTACACTTCAGTTAACCCAATCAACGTTCCTTATCATACTCGTTAAGTATCTCCGGTAACAGTTCGTCCAACTGTGATGCTCCTCTTCATTCCAGATTCTCCGACTTCCTATTTTGATGCTTACCCGACTGATAGCTCCTACCTTGACGTGGTGGTCGGGCTTACATATCGCAATGACCCAAAGAGCTATGCTGGTGGAACACTTGTTCCCTCGAGGTCTTACCATATCAGAAAGGTCTGTTGGATGGTGGTTAGACAAAAAGCAGTTATCGTTGTAATGTAAATTACCACACTTTGATGCGGGTCTGAGTGCGAAGTCGTACTGCTGCTAGCTGGATGGGGTGTGACAGCAGTAAAATGTGTTTCCCTTGGATGACCAGCAGTGCCATGCTGATGCTGCCTTCTCAGTGGAAGCGGGGCTAGAAAAGGTCGGCCCCAAAAATAACACACTCTACCATACCCCACGGTCTGCCGGGCCGGCGGTGTTGGTTCACCTGTCGTTTCTTTTCGACCATCCGGTCCCATAACAACAAACATTCGAAATAATCATACTCAAAAAGCCTCAAGCAGATGTCTGATGGGCCCTTTGGTCACACAAATCTCATCCAGGTATCTTTAGGAGAAATAGCCTTCAACGGTGTGGGCACCCAGGAAGTATCAACCTCCCTCACAACTCGATCAGCACTCAAGTTTCCTCAGACTGCTATCCACCTCCTCCATCATTACCTTCTAATCTTTCATGTCTCTCAATTAACAATACTACATCATCTTCAATTTCTCCTAGCTCTCCATCCCTCGACAACGATCTGAGTCTACAAAACAGCATCCTTGGTCTCCGTAAACCACGCTCCAAATTACATATTGGAGCCTTCAATGTCCTCACCCTCCATCAAATTGGTCAACAGGCTTCGTTAGCAAAGACTCTAGCAACTCAAGCCGTGGATGTGTGCTGTTTTTGTGAGACACGCGTACGGGATCCAAGTGCGGTTATTCACCTAACATCTCCCGGCCAATCTGATGAGTCCGCAAAATTCACCCTTCGAGTTTCTGGAGATTCGTTAGCTAGCTCTTATGGTCTTGCAGATGTAGGCATAGCATTAAACACTAGGGCAGAAAACTCACTACTAGACGGCATCCCAGTTGGTAGTCGCCTCTGCGCTATCCGACTGAACGACACAGTGAGAACTAAAAGGAATAATTAGACTCGCCGTTGTCTCTTTGTAGTCTCTGCTTACCCACTCACTGACTGTAGTTCGGATGAAGTGAAGGATGAGTTCTATTGTAAACCCTCTAGCCTCCTCTCTAAAGCCAAACGTTCAGACGTGGTGGTTGTTGCAGGTGACTTCAATGTACAGGTGGGTAGACTGAGTGAGGGAGAAAGGCACTTAGGTGGCACTTTCGGAGTCTCGGCTGAACGAACAGATAACGGTGATCGCCTACTACAACTGTGCTCAGATAACCGACTATTTTTAGCCAGCACCAATTTCAGACATAAAGAAAGACACTGTCTGACGTGGCGTCCACCGAGCTCAACTCAGCGATGGACACAGATAGACCATATTGCTATCAGTCACCGCTGGAGAGGATCGGTGGAAGACCGCCGCTCCTTCTGGAGTATGTGTTTGGATAGCGACCACGCGTTGGTCCGAGCGCGTGCATTTCTGCGTCTCAATAGACGTAGGAAACATTTGGCAACAAAACCATTACGAGTGCTGCTGGACAACGAAAACACCAAAGCCGTGTTCAGTGAGAAGTTGACTAGGCAGTTATCGGGACAAAAGACTACCACTCATCCAGAAGAAGCTTGGTGCCATCTCCAGTCTGCTGTAAAAGCAGAGCTGAAGACCGTAGCTGACTCCGAAATAGTGGCTAAAAACAGCCAGTGGATATCAGCAACCTCTGCCGAACTAATGGATGCACTTGAACGCATTCCTGCAGGCTCTGAGTACAATGAAGAGCGAATGCAACTTAAAAGTGGATTGAGAAAAAGTCTGAGCAACGACCGTGAACAGTGGTGGGCAGCGAAGGCTAAAGAGTTGGAAAAGGCAGCGACGATTTGTAACAGTAGACAGTTATTTAGACTTATTAAGGAGTGTGGGGCGGGGAAAGTTCAACAACAGTTGGTGAGGCTATAGCGGAGAGAGACGGATCGGCGATTCACTCGCAGAGGAGACGACTGAAACGATGGGCAGAACACTTCGAGGAACAGTTTAACTGGCCTCCAGCCACTATTGCGTTGCCTGCTATCCAGTCGGATCCTGAGTGGAACATTGAGATAGGCCCCCTGACACTAGTAGAATTCAAGAAAGCGGCAGGTAACCTGAAAGGAGGAAGGGCGGCAGGACCAGATGGACTAACTCCTGAGGTATGCAAGGGTGGTGGTAAGGTGCTCTTAGTCAGGTTGACGGAAGTGTTAACCAGTATATGGGAATCAAACACGATCCCCTGTGACTGGTTTAAATCACTGATTACACCTAGAATATGCATATGACATCATACCCTAGGTTATATTGCGAATTCGAATTATCACGAGCTGAAGAGTTACGTTTCAGATATATGGTAAAAACGACAAGGAAATGTAAGAAAATTTAGAAAACGAACAACAAAACCAACTCTAAAATAGACGCAAATGATTATTTAAATATGCAAATAGCTGACATTCTTCGGCTGCCATTCCGACAGCTTCTCAAAGAATCTGGGAAAAAAAATTAAGTTAGTGAGAATGGTCTTATCGATCTGAATAAGTGATTACAGAGCCAAAGGAACGTTAGTCAATAAGTATTGCAGTAGTTCATGAAGGTGGAGATTGAAAGCGAGTATGCTACGTCAGCTGAGAATTCATAATAAAACTAGTGCAGTCATGTAGGTACTTAGGGAGGTACTTTGTCGGAGGTGATGGTAATCGGTGGTGTTAAACCTCATCCCCTACATTTACAAATGAATTGGAGGCAGCATGACACCAACATCGCATCATCATAGAACAGAGTAGGGAATGGCAGTCAACTTTCTGCCCCAACTTCATCGACTTTAAAAAGGCCTTTGACAGCGTCAACCGAAGTAATTTGGCAGTTGCATAAACACTATAGAGTGCCACAAATCTTTATCAACCTCACTCAACAGCTATATGACGACGCCACATACCAGTGATCCACAATGGAAAGTTTAGTGACGCCTTTGAAGTGAAGACAGGAGTAAGACAAGGCTGCCGCCTACTATCATCCATGATCTTCCTGTTTGTGGCGGACTGGATCATGCAGCAAACTGTGAGGAGTGAGATAGGCATACGCGAATTGGACCGATGAAAAGACCTTAGGAGATTTGGATTTCGCCGATGATTTATGTCC